GCAAAGGCTTTTACTGAATTTATGTTCTCATGGCGAAACAAGGCTTTCCTTGGTTAATAGATTCATGGATATGCTGATGCTCGACACTAGGAAGCCTGTTAACTCTTCGAGTGTTTCCGAACCACCTTATCGTCTTTATGCTTGTCAAAGCAATGTAACATATTCACGTCCTCAGCACTTCGATGGTATGCTTTTTTTTATAAACTGGATTCTGACTGGGGGTGTTTTTATAATAACCAATGTCTTTTTCGAGGCCAGAAGTTTTGTAAATAATTTTTGTAATTCTATTTGCAGGGGTTCCTCCTCTAGTGTCTCGGCGTGTACTTGAGACGTTGACATATCTGGCACGAAATCATATGTACGTAGCAAAGATTCTGCTTCAGTCCAGGCTTTCCCTGCCTTCCCTTCAAGGTTCAGAACCCTCAGACAAGGCACGTGGAAAAGCTGTTGTAGTAAGTGATGATGATAACATGGGCAGAACGCAGCAGGAACCGGAATCTGTAGCCTTTGCGTTGCTTCTTAGTCTCCTGAACCAACCCCTATATTTGAGAAGTGTGGCTCATCTTGAACAGGTACTCCATTTCACGCGATGCTAATGCTATGGTTTGTCTTTGTTTAGTTTCATGAAAATTAACTCGGGGTTGTATTATTTTCTCATCATTTGTTCCAGCTGCTGAACTTACTGGAGGTCATCATTGACAACGCTGAACGAAAGTCTGAGTCTGCTGACAGATCAGATGGGTCTGCCAGCGAGCAGCAGTCAACACAGCAAGCATTAGAAGTTGAAAACAATTCAGAAAACCAAGATATAGTACCTGGCACAGCTGATACAATGACCAAACCAATTGTCTCATCTGGAAGTTCGTCAACCAGAGCAGAGAGTGAATGTGATGTTCACAGTGTGTTGCTAAATCTTCCCCAGTCAGAGCTGTGTCTGCTTTGTTCATTGCTTGCACGTGAAGGGTATGTCACATATGTGAACACCTCCTACTCTCTATCTGCCAGTTAATGGTTAAGTCTCTACATCTTGCGTTACTAATTATGCTGTTCATTTTCAGTTTGTCAGATAACGCATACACCCTTGTAGCGGAGGTGCTGAAAAAACTTGTGGCCATTGCTCCAAGCCATTGTCATCTGTTTATTACTGAGCTTACAAATGGAATTCAGAACCTGACAAGATCGGCGATGAGTGAACTTCACATGTTCGGTGAAGCCGTAAAAGCGCTTCTAAGTAGCACAACATCGGATGGATCAGCAATATTGCGGGTTTTGCAGGCATTAAGTTCCCTCATTGATTCGTTAATCACAAAAGGGAAAAACAATTCAGAAGAGCAAGTTGCGGTGTTTTCTCAGCTATCGAACATCAATTTGGCTTTGGAACCTCTGTGGCTGGAGTTGAGCAATTGCATATGCAAAATAGAGGGGCATTCTGATTCTTCTTCTGTTGCTACGTCTCCATCTTCGAGTTCAGCAACAAGGGGAGCTGGAGTAAGCCAGTCACTTCCTGCTGGTGCCCAAAACATCTTGCCTTATGTAGAGTCGTTTTTTGTTACCTGTGAGAAATTGCATCCATCATCACAAGCTGGTTCAGGTAATAATGATACCTCGGTTCCCATGGCTTCTTCTGATGTTGAGGAACAGCCCAAGGGGGGTCCAGGACCAAGCAGCAGCTCCAACTCCAAAGTGGACGAGAAATATGGTTCTTTTATCAAGTTTTCTGAAAGGCACAGGAAACTACTCAATGCTTTCATCCGACAAAACCCTGCTCTGCTTGAGAAGTCGTTTTCACTAATGCTCAAGGTTCCACGTTTTATTGAATTCGATAACAAACGTGCATACTTCAGATCAAAGATAAAACACCAGCATGACCATCACCATAGCCCTTTGAGAATCTCAGTGAGAAGAGCCTACATTCTTGAAGATTCATACAACCAATTGCGAATGAGGTCAATGCAAGAACTGAAAGGCAGGTTGACTGTTCACTTCCAAGGAGAAGAAGGTATTGATGCTGGTGGGCTTACGAGGGAATGGTATCAGCTATTGTCAAGGGTTATTTTTGACAAAGGAGCTCTTTTGTTCACAACCGTTGGCAATGACTCGACTTTCCAACCGAATCCAAACTCTGTTTACCAGACAGAGCACCTCTCCTACTTCAAATTCGTTGGTCGTGTGGTATGAGCTTTATAGCTCCTTTTTTTTACCTAAGTAGATAGACTTAGTGAAGCTGCGTTAATTACTGAATTAATTCTATCTCTGCTGCCCAGGTTGGAAAAGCTCTGTTTGATGGTCAACTACTTGACGTCCATTTTACTCGTTCTTTTTACAAGCATATCTTGGGAGTTAAGGTCACGTACCATGATATTGAAGCCATAGATCCTGATTACTATAAAGCCTTGAAATGGATGCTGGAGGTATATTTATATACAGTGTAGATACTTTTGTTTGTTTGGTCCAAAGCATTGTTACTCATCTGCTCTCTTTACTATATGCAGAATGATATTAGCGATGTATTAGATCTCACTTTTAGCGTTGATGCTGATGAGGAAAAGCTAATACTGTATGAAAAAACGGAGGTAAACTATATAACTTGCTCAACCTTTTTTTTTTAACAGTGTCTTTGAAATAAAATATGTTCTGAATATAAAAATTGATTGCAGGTGACGGACCATGAACTGATCCCTGGAGGCCGGAACATTAAAGTTACAGAGGAGAATAAGCATGAATATGTAGACCTGATCGCTGAGCATCGATTAACCACAGCCATTCGTCCTCAGATAAATGCATTCCTCGAAGGGTTTAGTGAACTCATCCTTAAGGATCTAATATCGATCTTTAACGACAAGGAACTGGAGTTATTAATAAGTGGTCTTCCTGATATCGACTGTAAGTAGTTATTTATCTTGTGCCAAGAATTTCATTACCTTTTTTTCCTTCTCTGACCTCTTGTTGGGTTATTATTTTTATAACAGTGGATAATCTGAGGGCGAATACTGAATATTCTGGGTACAGTCCTGGATCCCCTGTTATCCAGTGGTTCTGGGAGGTTGTTCAGGCTTTGAGCAAAGAAGACAAAGCCCGTCTATTGCAGTTTGTGACTGGAACCTCTAAGGTAAGAAAAAAAACATGTTTGGTTTCATTAAGATTGCTTTTTAAAAATAAATTGGGAAACTGACGTTTTGAACTCTCAATACAGGTTCCTCTTGAAGGATTTAGTGCTCTTCAAGGGATTTCAGGAGCACAGAAGTTTCAGATTCACAAGGCATATGGAAGCGTTAATCACTTGCCGTCTGCTCATACCTGGTAAAAAAGATCTCAATCCTCGAATGATGAAAACTATTCTCTCTGATGAATGGCGCCACAAATATCAATAACGTATATGCAAAAAAATGTCTTGTTTGCAGTTTCAATCAGTTAGATCTGCCAGAGTACCCGTCGAAGGAACATCTGCAGGAGAGGCTGCTGCTTGCAATCCATGAGGCAAGCGAAGGATTCGGATTTGGTTAACACAAACCAGCTTCCTTTTTTTTTTAGCCATTTCATTCTATACATATACCTTTTGGGCAAAACGAACGATTTTCTCTGTAATTCTTACTCTTACTACCTTTGCTTTTCTTAAGAGTATGTTTAATAGATCTTTTTAGAGAACATTCCATTAAAGCACATTTTGTGTTTGTAATTTCACAAACAATTTATCGTACCCATTGACTCGAGTTATAGAGAGAAAAACTTAAAAATTTCCAACTTCACAACAGAAAAGAAGTAGATTATAGCTACTACACAAAAATAGTTTTCATAAAAAAAATGAACTAACTAATTTTTATTTACTGATAAGATATACGAATTATTTTGAAATTATGTTTAAATATACAAACTAATTTTCGTTACATATTAAATATACAAACTTTGAAATTCACAGATTGTACACATTGTTTTAAATGGCATAGCTGTATAATTAACGGAATGGTCGTGTTTAACTTGTAATTAAGTACGTTTGTGAGATCAAGCACTTCTTGAGCTCAATCAAAGTTTCCTTTCTTTCTCCATACAGCTTTTGTCCATGTAGCTGTCCCATCAGTAGCATCACCCGTATCAGGTTGTGGCACAAACACATTTTCATTTCCATGGCAAGAAAATATTGTAAAGTAAAATAAAAGAAGCAATAAGAAACTCAACCACAATGTGGGAACAGGGCTGTGCCTGAAGTTTATGGGTCCCCAAGTATCTAATATATCTTGGCCCTTTAATGACTTATTTTTGGAAAAATATTAAAGATGCGGAGCAAAGAATCAAAACCCGCAACCTTTTTAGTTCAGATATGGAAAAATATCGGTAGAGTTGATTTTTGTAGAAAGTTGGCCTTGAAAATAGTTAAAAACATGAGCTGATAGTTAAAAAATATCAGCTTGTAGGCATCGCTCCTGTGTAAATTACCTCTACATTTATAAGTCCTCATTGAAACACAACGTTTTGTTCAATGATGAAAATGTTAAAGATAGATGAGACTCTAATCTAAAACTAATTGGTGATAACTAGAATGATATTTATCTTATATATTATTAAGAAATCTTTTTAACTACCAATATGGAAGACTTACTCTTTTATACACCTCCTCGAGATGATTTCTTTTCAAACTCAATTTTAAAATGTTTGAGTAAGGATCGATGGGTGATCATGCTTTAATACTATTTCTTTGATATGTCCCCTCAAGCTTAAGGGATTGATGAAACCAAGATAACGGAAGCAACATTATGCTTGAACCATACGGTTAAACAGACTTGTAGCTTGGATGGATTTAGAACATGGACAACCATAGTAGTCATGGAAGCATATGGCACACCGCACACAGATAACAACAAATGTGTAGTATTCGTGTTATGTGATTGCAGCAAGGCACACAGATAACAGCAAGTTAATGCAGAACAGAGAAAATCTTATTACATTTGAAACTATGAACTAAGATCTATAGTTCTCCAATTTTTAGAATGTTTAAATAAACCACTAGGTTAAAGGAAACACATAATCCACAACCTTATCTTGGCAAAGGGTAGAGTTTTTTTATAGACTAACTAAACAAAAAGATCTTCATGTGTTAAATGCAAAGCACATATACTTATGGAAACAGTGGCGGATCCAGACTAACTATTCGACGGGAGCACATTATTAAATATACTAAATAATATAAAACTGATAAAATAAATCTACAAAAAATATTAATTATAGAATTTAACCATTTATAAACTGTAACAAATAGTAAACTTATTTATTAACCCGTGATATATTTTATAAATAGTTTTCATTTTGTTTACAAATGTTATTAAGCACAAGAATAGATCGTGGCAGACAAAATTAATTAAAATATATAAAAAATTAGTCTACAAGTTTATATATCTAACAATATGTCAATCTGATACACATAACTTGTTTTGGTCATTATAGTATAAGGAAATGAACTCTAAAATATTAAATTAAAATGAAGGAATTAGTTTATTATTTGAATATCAATTAGTTTTATTCATTTGCTAGCAGCAATTATGAATTTCTTCAATTAAAATAGTGGAATTAAATGTGCTTCAGAAAATATTGAAACCTAAGATATAAATAATAAAAGACAATAAACAAAACAAAAAGTATGTTAACAAAGAAAAATGAATTGTTGAGAAAAAATGGAATAGTACAATAAATAAAAGGGGAATAAGATCAATGTTCAGGGTGTCCATATTGGATTTTAAAATTAGCCAATTGGGAGCTTCCAAATAGCCACATCATTCTTTTGTTATCGAAACAGATTTTTCGTCGGCCAATTAAACGTGGGCTCATAATATTAATAGGCCACAGCTCAGTTTTAACCAGCCCAACCCTCTTTCCAAGCATTCTATGTTTAAGTCATATTAGACTCTTCACCTTCACGATCGTCGTTTCTGACATCTGAAAGCCAGAATTTATGTGGAGTTATCACCACCCACTAAAGCTCATTCAATTCTATTCTTTACACCTATCTTAGTAAGATATATTATCTTTTCACCTCCCTTTAAAAGGAGAACAAGATCAATGTTCAGGGTGTCCACGTTGGATTTTAAAATTAGCCAATTGGGAGCTTCCAAATAGCCACATCATTCGTTTGTTATCGAAACAGATTTTTCGTCGGCCAGTTCAACGTGGGCTCATAATATTAATAAGCCACGGCCCCGTTCTAACCTGCCCAACCCTCTTTCCAAGCACTCTACGTCTAAGTTGTCTTGGACTCTCCACCTTCACGATCATCGTTTCTGGCTTCTGAAAACCAGCGTTTATGTGGAGTTATCACCACCCACTAAAGCTCATTCAGTTCTGTTTTTTACACCTATCTTAATAAAAAAATTGTATCCTTCTACCTCCATTTCTTTCTCCTCTTATATAAACCCTAAATCAAAGCTTTCGATATAAACTTTACTTCAAAGCTTTCATCGAACAATGATATATGACCTCCATAAAACACATTGCATTACAAAGTAGAAGGCTTTAGATATATATGAAACTCTGATGCTGAGAATTTCCTACAAAGCAAACCAAATAAGATTCCCAAACACAAATTATTTTGTGATTCATTACCCTCTTACTCTAATTTTGATCTCTCTTTTATATTTGTTTTTACACATTTGTATCTATGATTTCTGTTTCCAGACACATGTTAGCAAAATGAACTATTTGTCAGAAGTTGTTCATTCCAGTTTTTATTAATCATGACAAACCTGTTTTATCTATCTCAACTAAAGCAACTTCAAGTGCCTTTAAATTTCGTATGAAACAGGTCATCTGATTGGTGGTGTGGAGTTCGTTTCTTTGACGTACTTTGAATATATATATATATATATTCAATTCTACAAATGACATTTCTCAAGTTAAAGTTAATTAATGAGTGCATATGGTTTGAAATTGATACCAAATAATGAGTCACAACGCTGAAGAGACAACATAGCAGACCGCTGAATGTTTCCTCATCTTCTGAGAATTTTGTTTTCATTCTCCTCAAGAACTTTTGGTCAGCTTTGATTTTAACAATTGCAGTTTTTAGGTAACAGATTTGAGTGATTTGTGCTGTAGATTATGAATACCTGAAGAGCCTACACATTTTATCTAAATCAATCAGAGAAGTTGTAAGTTACATAATCACCATAAAATCTTTTATTTTTATTTGATTGATTTCCAAAATTTTTATTGTAAATTTGACTATGTAGTTTGATTTGATAGCAAAAGAGTTACTTTTTGCATACAAGTCACCGAAAATAACTTTAGTATATTTTTAAGCCAAGTTGATCTCGAGCCATCAATTGCAAGATGTTGAGTTTTCTAAAGTACCAGTTGACCATCGTTGGACAAAGGCTAAGAGGAAAGAGCAACTCTCTCGGTCAAATTTCGTACTTGGAAATCATGATGATGATTTATGTAAATTGTTGGGTTTAAAGGCTAGGTTTTGATACACTTTAACTACTGTTAAAGTAAATATCTTTGACAGTTATCAGCTTTTAAGATTATAATGCACTTCGATTCAGAAACTTTTAAGGGTTTAGTGTAATTTGTATGTGAATATATTTTCTATGAGACCTGAAATGGTTTTAATTTATTTCAGCCATTCAAAGAAAATCTTTTTAGGTGAAGTATTCTACAAGAAACTTCAGTGAAAAAATTATTGTGGAGTGAAACAACTGGTCACAGTCTCATAGTTGCTAATCTCCTAGAGATTGAAGTTGTGCGTGTCATTTGGGATGTTTTAAGGGATGTTGTACAGTGCTCTGGTTAAAGCAAGTATCAAAATGCATACCCTGTTTTCCCCCATGTAAGATTCAGTTTAGATACATGTCATGACATATATGATTTTCATATTATTCGATTCATATTATATATTGTCATATTATTTATCTCTTGATACTTAACTAGGTGAAAACATGGAATCCATTTTTGGACATATTTTTCAGTACCGGAAAGCTAGAGCTGGTACAGCGGCCAAATGCTATGCTGTTAGGAAACAAGCATATGAAAGTTTTTCATAAGTCGCATATGTCAATGGAAAACCAATCCTCCACTGGTTCGTTATGGAACCAACTGAAAGGCAGGTTCGTTCCATAGCGTTATGTATCATCTAGAAAGCTGGTTTCTAAAACAATATTAACCGGCCTTTGGGCATTTCATCTGATGCTTTTAAAAAAAAAAAAAAATACATTTTTGACATTGTAGGAAAATCTTTGTGAAAACATAGAACCATTTGTGAATTTGCTTGAAAGTTAACTATGATGTTTATGATGCATTGTGGATGGAGATACATGTCTGCGCATGAGCAATCTCCTTGGCTTACAGCCTCTAACTGTCTCTTAGCCTCGACATGTCGACATGTTGCTTAGCCTCATCAATTACCTCATAGCCTCTCACGCTTGCATTTGGTCATGTGATTTTCACTGATGGCTTTTCCAGGTTTAGGAAATCAGAGGGAAGCATCACAACCCTAAATGATCATTCAAAACATTGCTTGATCAGTGTAACTTACGTCTACATACATTTCCATATATATTTATTTACGCACACAATGAGAAGCTTACGTAACGTGAGAAAGCTATCAGGAAACTCAAACGAACCAAAGATGCAATATTGCTATGGTCACGAAGAAATTGTTAGCAATGAAAGTAGATATGACAGATCCAGCGTGGGGGCATGGCTCTTTGTAGAACCCAAGCCGGAGT